GGTCACTGAACTTAGTTTTAGGACTGTTATGTCTTAATTCAAATCTAAAGCACCAAAACACGTGGACAAAGAAATTGGAGGATCTCAAGTGCAAAATTCAACTTAAAATTTCCCCAACCCCAAACCCAGATCACCACTTTTCGTGCCCCATTCCACCACATTCTAGCCACCAAAACCATTGAACCAACACACCATCTTAAAGCCCTCGCTTTCCTCTATGCAACCCACTCAAGAACCGCCCCTACCTCCGACGGCGGTGGCCGGAATTTAGTCCCAAAGTGGGCCTCTCGCACAGCCGGCAGTTTTGTGATGTGTGAGAGGCACACTTTTGGACGAAATTATACCACTTTCCGGCCACCAACACAACACCATAACCACCGGACGAAATTATAACTTAATTTCTATAAAAATCAAATTATTTCTAACGTATCCATGCAATTACAATTTTCTGAATTTATATATTTTAAAGATATTAGATATGTGGGTAGGCTTGTAAAATATAACTATAATTAATTTCATTATATATGTTATTATTTATATTTTATTACCTATAATGTCATGTTTGGCTATTGTTTATTAAATATTTATAATCGATCAAATCATTTTTCTTCCGCATATTTTATGTAACCCATAAATACTATCCACTTATTCATCAATAATTTCTATTATAAATATTTATAATATGAATTAATTATAAACAACTCTAAACCTCTTTTTACTTTTAATGTGCATGTAGGGAATAAAATAATTTTTTGAAGTCAACTAAAGAACTCTCAAAATCAACTATTTTACAAATGAGTATTAATTTGATTAAAAAAAAAAAAAAACACGATAATTTTACTTTTCAACTATCAAAAGTCTTGGTATCAAACAATCTCGCTCTTTTGTTCAAAGATGCCAAAGTGATGATCGATTCATTTCACTTACCAAAAATATCAGCACAAATCACGTGATGAAAACACGAAATCATGCATTAGACTTAAAAAAAAAAAATGTAAGTCCCAAATCAGATAGAATCAGATTCCTACTAAGTACTTTAGTTTGCGCCATGTTAATTATGACCTAAAACCTAATAAATTAATTTAATCAGATTATGCTTTAATCCATCTTAAGAAAATAATATTTTAAGTTGTTTATAAAACTTGAGGTTTCATCTCAAAAAATTCGTGCAAATCCATATATGTAGATTACTATTCTTATAATTATCTAAACGTGAGCATGCCCCCCACAAGATGATGGTTTACTTGAGCACATCAATCTTAAAACTTGTGTGTTCATTTGAGTCTTACTCGGATTAAATCACTCATTGAAACTTAATGTGCTATAACATGAGATGACGCACTTTCTCCCTTGTAAGCGAACAACAAATGAAATACTTGTTGCATAGCCCTTCTTTAGGGAGATTTATGCTTACATATTATGGAAATCGTGATACTCGTTTCATTAGTGACCGTTGGGGAATTTTAGAGTGCATTTTGTAAATCAAATTGAAACTTTTATCAAACAAAATAACAAGGTAAACCTTACTTTGACAAAGAATAAGAGAAGTAGGAACTTCAAGAATGATATGAAACAAAACTTCGACGCAAATGTTCAACACTGTCTTTAAAATGAATATGTCTCGCAATGGTGCTAATAGAGGATTGACAATCGTCTCCCAAGATACAAAGGATTCTCCTTGCAATAGAACTTCAAACTTCAAGACAATGGCGAACTCGAAACATATTTTCTCTCTACCAAAATATGATTTTGATGCAAGAAACAAATATTTTCCAAGTATCCTGATGCAAAGTAATCAAGGAGAATGATATGGAATGATTTTAGTGCATCAAGGGTGTCCTATTTATAGAAGGTGACAAGTTGTGGTAAGAGAGATACGTCCCAAGCTCAACATGTTTCATGAAGGGATGTAGTCCTTTAGGTCGCTCGCTGCCCGCTCAGAATGTCGCTTGAGCACCCGCAGCTAAAGTCACTCATGCACGCTGACTGCGAAAAGCAGCAGTACTGTTACATGGGTAGAGAATCCGATTTTTTCCTTCTAATTTTGAACAATAATTTTTCATTCATTCCAAATTGGTTTCGAAATTTCAAATATACTATAATCATCTACTCGATGAGTAAAATAAGTTAGTCTATTTACTAATCGGAACATGTCCGAACACTAGTCCAAGCTTGATACAAAATCAAATTTTCATGATTTTTTACTTAACAAATTTTAACTCCAATTTTAACCAAATTCCAACCGTGACATCTGGCGCAATTTATGGGATTTGGCTAACACGGAGCTTCTTTTCAGCTGTGCTCATCACACTCAGACTTATGGCTAGGCTGAGGTAGTGAATGGGTATTTGGGTGACTTGCTTCATTGTTTGGTTGGTTCACATGTGAAGTTTTGGGACCGAAAACTCTGGCATACATAGTACGATTTCAGAACGTTTCAGATGGTGTATAGCTTCATCCCACGTAGTCATGGTGCTGCTGACAAACTTTTGGAATCTAATGCAAAAAATAATTTGGTAGCTGATGCTAGGCACAAACATGTACAACGAGTTTAAGGTTGGTTATCTTGTTTGGGCTGTTCTTATTAAGGCACCGTTTGGTAACCATTATTCTAGAAAAAAATGCATTCTTTGTGTCAAATCACACCTTTTTTGTGGTTGAAAATGAAGGAAAAGTTATTGATGTGATGGAAAATATTATTTTATTGATG